ATTACTGTAATCACTGTTTCAGTGTTTCTCTTCCTCCAGCTAAAAAGAGGCCCCGTTTCTGCCCCTGGATCCTCTTCCAAACTTTTTTCTGGATTGAATTATTGATACTTTGGGATCAAATCAGTCACCTTGTCCCACACTAGGCTGAAGGCGACAATAGATTAATCTAAATTAATTTTCTTACCTGGAGCGTATCATATACTTGGAAAATTCCCTCGACTTTTCTACAATTATCCTCATTAGCTCTAGTAAATAAAATGGACTCGTCAGCAAAGAGAGCTGGGTGAACCAAGGACCCGCTTTAGAGCATTGCATTCCAACTTGCTTGCCATCAAATTCAGCTATTTGGATCAAAGAAGAGAAAGCCTCATCAGAGTTGAAATAAGTACCTCGAAAGGGGGAGTTCTTGATGAAGTCCTTATAAAGTATTGCATGACCTATGAACATCTTGGCACACCGTTGACTGAAAAAGCGAAAGGTGCAGTAGACATACACATAAATAAGAGCAATCCAATGATGCAGGAAACCTGCTTATGTCTAGTTTTAATGCCGTAAACCCTTTGTGCTCAATATTTTTCTTGCTCATAGAATGCAATAATTCAAACATCGCGATAACATTGTCCTTTATGAGCCTACCCAGATCAAAAGTGCTCTAACTAGCGCAGATGAGATTCGAAGCTTCATTCTTCGTCTATTTGCATTGGTATTGCTGACCAACTTGTATGCTGTGTAGCATTGGCTGATTGGCCTCTAATCCGTCATGTACTCTGGCTGATTCTTCTTCAGGATGTGGGCAATGTTCATTTGATTAAAAGCACTGATTGATAGTTTACTGTTGAGTACCCCCAAGCATACATTAGTTACTCTTGATCCAACCACCTCCAAATATTTTACAAAGAAAATTGCATGAACCCGTCAGTGTCTGGAGCTTTTGCTGGACGATCTCCTCTTTACCGAACAATTGCTGTAGAATTGAAAAGTCTTGAGGGAAAGGCAGGCTGTGATATATATTCGTCTCGGCATCCGAGTACTCTCCAGATGACCCGCTGCCGCAATAAAGGGCCTCATAATAGTCCTCAAGCATGCGAACAACCGGTTCCACCACCTCACACCAAATTCCATTCATGACTCTAATTTGAGATAAAAATCATTTTTCAGTTTCCAACTTGAGGCCTTAGCATAAAAATATTACAAGTATTCTGGTCAACCGCATTTAACCATTCGACCCTAGGACGTTGACTCCAATGTTGTTCGTCCCTCTCCACTAGAAGGTAATTTCTCGTTCTAACATCATGATCTCCTCCATCAGGTGTGCACTCCCTTGATTAGCATGGGGAGAGGCCAATTTCTTCAGTTTCTTATTCAACTCTTTGCGCCACTTCCCAAATATGTCCATGCTCCACTGGTTCTTGTTTTCTGAAATGGGAAGCTAATGAATTATGTACATTATGACGAAAATTCATCGTTCCAGTTCCAGTTCCTGAATTGCTGAATTTAGTTTAAGAGACAAAGAAAAAGGGGAAAAAATCATTAAGATCTATTGCAAACCTGTAGTAATTTACCATCCCTTTGCACGTTGTCATTAATTAGGACACCCTCATTGTTCACACACCTATTTTGAGGAATTTGTGATTTGAGGCTTCTTAAAATGAGATTGTTGTACGTTTGAGCATTCTCTTTGCAAGTTCTAATCATTAAGCTACAATATCAATTGACATCAGTTTTGACTATGACTGTATGTTTAATGAATCACTCTCTTAGATTCATAGCATACGAACACGGGTCTTAAGCATAACATGGAGGTGGGGATTAAGATTTGAGAACCTATCTGAATTATTAGCTCTATTGGTGATATCAGAATCTAATAGAAATTTGTCTCTTTCTAATGTTAATTATGCCTTTTTCCTTCTCAAAGTATCAAGACACTGTCTCTCTTCTAGCATCTTAAATTCAACACCAATTGCTTGTGTAGATTTATGCATGGATTGGTTGCAGTTCTGCTAAATTTGGACATTTATATGCGGCCGCACGTACACGATCTGTAAGTTCATAATTGAATATTTTTGGAAATGCTCCCTTCTGTTTGCTTGGTTCTTTTTCTCCTATGCAATTCCATAGACAGAATCTTGTCAATTCAGAGGAGCAATAATATGAAATTGAAGAACTCAAATATAAACGATGATAGATAAAGAGTTCTATAGTTGCACAGAGTCCCGCTGCTGGAGTTATTTATGAGTTTCAGCTACTGATCATTGTGCATGTTCTGCACAAATTATCCGACTTTTTGGTATCTGAACAGAGTAATACAGTGAGTGTGACTTCTCTTATTGGAGGAACTTCTGATAATACGGGATCTGGAGTTGCACGTCGATTGGGTAAATTGTTGTTAAATTATTAAAAAATCTAAGTTTTTCTTTGTTGAGGTGCCTCTGCTGACTCGTTCGTATGCTTCTCAGTTCTGAAGACTGGCCTTAATATCATTCTTGCTTGTGACCTTCCGAAGAACAGCCCAATGCTTGAGGTTCTCTCTTTCTCACTCTCTCTCTTGTATTTCCATACATCCTCAAATTTTTTAGTAACAAATTGCAATTTAAATACTGCACTTGTATCTCAAAATGACTGAAATTGTGAATTTCTTCTACCCTTCTTGTTAAGAAATCAGCTTCGTTATTATTTTGACTGTTTACCCAATTTTCACATTTCTTTCTGTGTTGGGATGTTCAGGCAGATGCTGAGAAAAGGCTGGTGCAAAAGCTAATTAGTCTAGGTTACACAAAGCCACAAGTGTAAAGGACAATTTCCATGGAGGAGCTTCGTCGTAGCAATATATCTTACACTGCCGTGAAATGGTTCTTTGGTTTCGTTTTTCTGGTTGAGTTCTCCATAATTTATCAAAGAAAGAGATGTGTAGTTGCAGGTGCCTCTATCTATACCCTTGGGGTATAGCTTTATCTTGGTTCTGCAATTTGTAACAAAGAAAGGACATTTTAGTTCTGAGACGTAGTAACATTCCAAAAGAGATGATAATGTTACTGGCTTTGTTTGGCAGCAATGTACGAATGGACTTCTTGAACTTGGGTTAGTTCTTGATTTTCAAGGTGTGTTTATAACTAATGACATCCTTTATCTTTGATTCAAATGCCTTCGAAATATCTTTATTTTTGTTTCGATGTGGGTAAAGAGCTGACTTCCTGTGAGTGAATCTTGAAATGATTCACAAGGCTTCATTCTACCAGTCAAGTGAACTCGTTATTCTTTTTTCTTCCTTTCTATCGAAACTAGTATGTAAATTTCATTACAACTCTCGTGTGGGATAAAAATAGGAATTCGAGTTCAGGTCATTCGAAACTGAACTAATATAGCAAATGAAGCAATAGATAGTTACTCTGTTCCTATAGTACAGTAAAACTACAATATCAAAGAAAATAGAATCACCACACCTCATGAGAGAAAAATACAACTAATCCAGTCATTTGAAACCAAAACTAATGTAGCAGCAAATGTAGCATATGAAAGCCCAAGATTGACTAACCAAGAGGGGGGTGAATTAGTTTTATAAACTTTTTCAAGAATTAATTCTAGATGTATCTATTGCACAAATATGAAAATGAATAATGAAGATGATGTAAAGCTAATAAGTAAAAAGGATAGAGTGATTTTATAGGAGATTCAATCCAACTCAACCAATCTACGTCCTCCGTTACCAAGCTCTCCGTCACGAGCAAGACCTTTTCCATTATATTGATTGATTTATGGTGCAATCTAACCCTTTTACAAAGCTTCCGACGACTTACAACCAAGGAACACCGATCCTTTTACAATGTTGATCTTTGCTGGACTTCAACACGACTCACAAGTTTAAAAATACAATTTGAAGCTTTTCTCTCAATAAATAATATATCAAAGTCGAGTATAATGAGAGAAAATTATACTAAAACTTCAACGGATCGCAAAGAAGGTAGTTCAAGTGTTTTGATTGAAAAACTTTAGTTGAGATAAAATGATTCACTCAAAAAGGTTTTTCTATAAATGAATGAATTGATCTTTTTAAAAGAGTAGAAAAATGAGGTTGGAAAGATCAATAAATACTTCACTTAATATTTATGAATAGTTGTTGAAATATGGAAGAAAATGTGGTTTTTGTAGAACTCAAAGATCTTCCAAACGGTTAAAAAAAAAAAAAAAAAAAAAAAAAAAAAAAAGTTAAAAAAAAAAAAAAAAAAAAAAAAAAAAAACTACCCCACCGGACAAGCATAATGGATGTCCGCTAGGTATCGGACAAGTCTGCTAGCCGTTGGTGAATCAGGTGACAGAACGTTCCAATTTTTGACCGTTGGGTAAAAAATCTTCACCAGACGTCCGCTATACTACCGGACTGTCCGATATAAAAAAAGTTTTCTTTGAGCTTTCAAGACTTCAATGCTAAATATCAAAGCATTTTACCTTTACATATAAATTCGAAAATTCTAATATAATTTTCTTCAATATGCCCGATCATTAATGTTCAAGGCTTTGATCTTGATTACTCTTGGCATTGGCAGTCGTCTCGTTCTTCATGAGTGCATTCGTCTAGTCCTATGAGTCTTCATTTTGATTTCAACTATCATGACTCAAAGGTAGGTTTGTTAGAACTAAAAATAAATCTTGTTTGTTATAATCAAAACATATGCTGAAGTCGAAGTCAACAATTTCCCCTTTTTAATTATGACAAACAAAATGATTTGCACAAGACGAAAAAATTCAACAAATGTATATTCCCCTTATCTTTTGCACATCAATAATTATAAATTGAAATATTCCCCCTTAATCATACACATTATGCGTAATCAACCATAACACTATTTACTCAACCATGCATAATCAACCATAACACTATTATAGTGAGACATTCCCCCTTAATCATGCATAATCATCCATATATCACTTCCTCTTTTTGTCATAAGCAAAAAGAAGTCAACCATAGATTGCAAGAACATAAGTGAAATATATTAATTGGTGCATAAATGTTAAGCATAACAGTAAGCCTAAAACATGTAGAGAAGTGTAATAGTGCAATGTTTAAAAAGACAAGCATAATAAATAAACTAAGCCGCTGGAGGGAATCGAGAGTAAAAATAGGCAAAGAAAGCAGCCTGTTGCGCCTACATTTTCGCCTGTCGATCTTGGATAGCCGTTTGTTGTGCTTGAAGCTGGAGAAGTAAGCTTCCAAAACTATCAATGGTGGAAGTGAGAGATTCGATACATCCGTTGAGGATGTTAAATTGATCCTCAGTCATGCTGTGTCTGCTACTCGATGCCGAGGGACACTCGAACCCGGAAAGTCGGAAGGAGGAATTTGAGCGTCTTCGGAATCATCCTCGTCATCTTTTTCGAAAGCCAAAGTGGATGGACCCGAGGTAGGATCGAATCCCTTAGTGTGTGCTACCCAATGACCATTTTCCTTAGTGATTTTCATTCGTGCAAGTGCTTTGATGTTGATTGTGTCAGTTGGGCGTAATTTGATAAAAGGCTCATTTTCCAAAGGCACATTAAAATGTTTCAAAATTTTCGTTAGAAGCATGCCGTATGGAAGTGCTTTGGTTTGTTGTGAGATATGCACACATTTCATAGTTCCAAAAGCTAAAGTTGGAAAATCTAATCTTCGTTTCACAAGAAAAGAGTCGAGAATAAATAGATCGGGAAAATTGACTTTGTTTCGATGCCCTTTTCGAGGAAGTATGATATGGGCGATAATGTGTTGTAAAACTTTGCATGGTAGATTCAGGTGATGTGTACTAATTTTATTCATATTTTCAAAGTCTTTTTCGGTTACACGTCGACAAGCATCACTCAGGTTATAACCTTCGATCGACGGATGAGCTTTATGATGATGAATTTGTGTTTCACACATGTCAAGCCTAAGAATTTCACGAATGAGGTCTTTGGAAATTTTCATATTCACATTATTAAGAAAACAAGAGATTGTGTCCGATTGAGCGATAACCAATGAGTGATGAAATTTCCTCATAAACCTAGGATATGCATGCTCTTCCATCCCAACTACGGAGGTCCAACCCATGTTTTCTAGGTATTCCTCAACGTGAAATACAGGTGCTTGTAGTATAAAATCAGAAAAATCAACGTTCTTACCTAGGAGAATGGAGATTTCTCAAAAGGGTTCATGGCCACCTCGGGTTCCTCATCCATTTCTTTGTCGGAGGAACTTGGTGGAGGATGTCTAGCAGTATCCTTAAGGCATTTTTCAGCCCTATTTCATCCAGTCATTGTGTAACAATTTGAAAAATAGAGAAAGAATAACCTAGGGTTCGAACGCAGAGATTTGGGGATTTTAGGAAAGAAATCTTAAAAATTTTTGAGTAATAGTGAGTGTAGAAGTCATGGGCAAGGAAGATTTTTAAGTAATTTGCAAATGGATTATGATATTGGATGAATGGAGAAGAGATTTAAGGAGAGAGATAAGAAAAATGGTGAAAAAGATGAAGGAAGAAGAAAACGGGTTTCGCATTTTAAAAAAAAATCCGGTGTACTGGACGTTCGGTACATTTTATCGGACGGTCCGATAAGACAGAAAAATTTCTGTTAAATCGCGCTTATGTATTGGACCGTCCAATAGAGGTGTCCGGTATATTCCGGACAGTCCGATAGGCCTTTTTTTAAAATAAAATATTATGAAATATTTGTCATGTAGAGTTTGAGAAAAAAGGGCCATGCAAAAATGATTTGAAAACTTATTCTATTTCATTTTCATCAAGAATGCCTAAACCTCTTTGAATATGAGAAAAAGGGTCATGAGCTAGAGGTTTGGTAAAAATATTTGCCAATTGGTCCTCGATTTTTATAAATTCTAACACAATATCTCCTTTTTGTACATGATCATGGAGAAAGTGGTGTCAAATCTCAATGTGCTTAGTTCATGAATGCAAGACGGGATTCTTAGATAAATTAATGGCACTAGTATTATCACACAAAATAGGTACGTGATCGTAAGTCAAATGATAATTACATAGAGTTTGTTTCATCCAAAGTGTTTGTGCACAACAACTTGCTGCCAAAATGTATTCCACCTCGACAGTGGATAGTGCAACAGAATTTTGTTTCTTACTAGACCAAGACACAAGTGCAAAGTCTAGAAAGTGACAGTTTCCGCTAGTGCTTTTACGATCAACATTACATCCGGCCCAATCAGTATCCGAGTAATTAATTAAATCAACGTGAGTGTCTTTTGGATAACAAAGTCCTAAAGTTCTAGTTCCACTTAGATAACGAAAAATTCTTTTAACGGCACTTAAGTGAGATTCTTTAGGATTAGATTGAAATCGAGCACATAAGCAAACGCTAAACATAATATCAGGCCTACTAGTAGTTAAATAAAGAAGAGATTTGATCATACCTCGATATTATGTGACGTCCACGGATGTGCCTTAATCATCTTTATCAAGCTTTAGGGACATGCTTAATGGCGTGTTCATAGGCTTGATGTTATACATATCTAATTTTTTAAGCATGTCTAATATGTATTTATTTTGATTTATGAAAATTCTTTCTTTTGTTTGTTTAATTTGAAGATCAAGAAAGAATTTTAATTCATCCATCATGCTCATTTCAAATTCTTTACTCATGCACTTTGAAAATTCTTCACAAAGATGAATATTTGTAGCACCAAAAATAATGTCAACATAAATTTGAACAATAAGCATATCCTCCTTATGAGTTTTTATGAAAAGTGTAGTATCTGTTTTTCCAATCGAAAAATCATTTGAGAGAAGAAATTTGCTCAATCGTTCGTACCAAGCTCTAGGAGCTTGTTTCAATCCGTAAAGAAACATGATTCGGATACTTGTGATCTTTAAAATCGGGGAGGTTGTTCGACAAAAACTTCTTCTTGAATAAAACCATTCAAAAAATGCACTTTTAACATCCATTTGATAAAGTGTAAAGCTCTTGTAACATGCAAATGCAAGAAACATATGAATGAATTCTAATTTTGCTACGGGTGCAATTATTTCTTCAAAATCGATACCTTCTTCTTGATTGTAACATTGGGCCACTAATCTAGCCTTGTTACGCACAATTATTTTATTTTCATCTCTTTTGTTTCTAAAGACTTATTTTGTTCCAATAACGGTTTGATTGTTTGGT